TCACCTTAAAAAGAATTGTGTTAATAAATGAGAGGATAACAAACGAGCTCGTGCACACATGTTGTTAACTTTCTCCTACTAGTCTTTGAGGAAGTGTTTCTCAACAAAGTTGATGATTTTTTGATATTTGTGCTCACAGCATTAAACATGACATTTAAAAGACAAAAGACGGGAACGTCTTTTCCGGGAGCAGTGTCACCGTTACTTTGAATAACAGACTATACTTTTGTGTGTCGGGCTGGGGGAACTCTTCGATCTTCCTTGTTACCGTCTATTGCTGTCTGTTTAAAAAGGATAATGAATGATTTTCATACATAAGTTTTCAGCGCGGATAACTGTAAACAAATTAGATGTATTTGTTGTACAGAATTTTTTCCTCTGAATTGTGAGATGACTAAAAACCCACTAGTTCTTATCATTAGAAAAGAATGAAAACAGTGAATGTATGAATGGGCAGTTAAATTGCTACATTTTCTTTTCATCCAGTGAAACGGAAGCAATAGAAAATACAAGGGACTAAGTCGCCAAAGCGATCTTGTCGGCACAGATAATGATGACTAATTATGAGCAAAGTGACACATGAGATGGGAGTGGGATATACTTTTGTGGTGATTCATTTTGCTTAATTTAGCATTACCTCCATGAAACTGTATTATTATTGAGATTGAACACCACTTGTTGTTAGAACATTACCATTGTGAGTGTTACTGCCCACCCTGGTAATTGGAGCTGAGGTGATTAAATGGATTACATCTCTAATTACAGATTTGATTCAGGAAAGCAGCAAGCTGTTATATGTTCTGTTTTAATAGCAACCGTCAAAGCGCAGGGGTTTGGAGATCTCGGACCAGCAGTGGGTGTAACATCTGTGTGATGGCAGGTAGTGCATTAGCAATGCTGGCTCTCTGAGAACAGCTGGGAATGGCTGTGACTCTGTATGGATGAGTGACACGCCTTTGGAAACGCACACAGTGCTGCCTTTGCAGAACATGGCCAGAGAAATATCACTCTAGCCCGTTTGATATTCGGTTTGGGAATTTAATGTGCTAAACCTTCCAAAAGTTTAAGCATACAACACAGAAAATGTACTGCATGTAAATTAGCTGCTGAAGTTCTGTCATTGGGGGAGGGCCTTTTTCTTACCTTCACTGAGAGACGCTGTTTGTGCCACACAGTTGCTGATATTTACTGAAAAATTAAAACAGATAGGAGCTTTCTCTCTCTCTTCCTTCCCCTTTGTCACTTTAATCCTTGCTTTTCTTCCAGGATAATGATGGAGGGATGACTACACAGCTGCCCAGCACCATCACGTCATTTGTGCAAACTGGTTTGAGGCCAGGCGAAGAATATACAGTGAACCTGGTGGCGCTCCGGGACCAAGGTCGAAGCCAGCCAGTCACAGCTACTGTCACAACACGTATGTATTCAGTTTGGAAGCTGTAAATTAACAACAATTAGCTATAATATTATAACCACCAAAATTTGTATTCAATGTTAGGCTGCTGTGCGAAATGTGCGTTAAAAAGAAAGGCCATTTTCTGCAAATCTCATAAATCCATATTTTATTCACATACATACAAAACGTATAAAATGTTTAAACTGGGTTATTTTACTATTTCATGAGAAGTATTAGTTATTTTTTAATTTGATGGCAGTAATATGACACAATTGCTTTTGTTGGGATGGGCCAACAAAAGCATTGAAAAGAAAATAGTACTAAAAAAACCAACTGGAGGAATGTTTTGCACATAATTCGGTTACCTGGCAACAGGTAAGTAACATGAACAGGACTAAAAAGATCATCTTTAAAAAGATGGGCAGAGTTTCACTGCTCTGTAAAAACACTGCATCTACAAATCAGGGAACAACTTCAGAATAATGCGTGTTGTCATATGTCGTACGTCTATATTATCCTCAAAAGGTGCAGAGAATCTGGAGATATCAGTGTGCAAGGGACAAGACTGAAACTCAGTACTGTGCATGATCTTCAGACCCTCAGCCAGCATGGAAATCACAGCATGGGCTGAGGAACACTTTCAAATAACATTATATGTGAACAAAGTTCACAATGCTATCAACAGATACAAGTTAAAGCTCTGCTCTGCAAAGAAGAAGCCATATGTGGTGATGATAATCTTCTCTGAGCTGAAGCTCATTTAAAGTAGACTGAGGCAAAGTGGAAAACTGTTTTGTGGTTAAAATTTAAAATTATTTTTGAGAATCATGGATGCCAGATCCTCTGGACTAAAGAGGGACTAAAAATGACAAGGTTGTCATCAGTCCTCAGTTCAAAAGCTTGCATCTTTGATGGTATGGCAGTGCCATATGTAACTGACAGCTTGCACATGTGGAAGCTCGCCATGAATGCTGAAAGGTGTAAACAGGTTTTAAAGAAACATTTTCTTCTATCCAGATGACATATTTTTCAGGGAAGGCCTCGAATATTTCAGCAAGACAATGTTAAACTACAAACTGCAGCTATTACAACAGAATGGCTTCATAGTAGAAGAGTTTCTCCAAGTTTAAACACATAAAAGCATGAAAAATAAAACAAAGAAGACCCACAACTGTTGAGTGACTCGTCTCTCAGACAAAAGAGGGACAAGCAGCTGGTCCTCAAATTGAAAATGAGCCAATATTTTTCATTAAATAGTACAATTTAAAGATCTTATATATTTGATTAAGAATATTAGAAGAGATTCTGCTATTTATGTACATTTTACACAGCGTCCCACCTTTTTTTGAATTGTGATTATAAAATTCGACGCTGATCAACCATAAATTCTTTCAGTCATCCATTTCAGAATCTGCTTACCATGTTGAGGGTTGCAGGGAATGGGTTTTTTTTGTAACCTTTTTAAGCTAAATCAGTTTTTATCCTCGGTAAACTGGGAACGTGATTAGGCCAAAAAATAAGTTCAGTCTGATGATTTTTGGGGGTTTTGTTTCGTTTATTTTGCTTAATCCTTGTAATTGTAAACTGAAAAAAAGAAACAGTTTAGCATATTTTGTGCTAAACCTAAATATTTAATGAAACTGCATAAATGTTTACAAAAAGTTTTCTGTTAATCAGTTAATTAGCTAATCACTTCGACATAAACCGTAGCACAGCTTTCCCTGCACGCTCCCGACTCACTGTACGCTCAGCAAAGCAGCGAATGTCACCTTGACGTATTTGCTCTGCAAACCATTTAGGCCCCTGACGTAAACCTCACTGAAGTATTGCCCCCCCACCCCCCACCCCACCCCCCACTCCTCACCCATGCGACACTACTTAGACAGCTGTAATAGATCCAATTCAAACCTCCTCCATAACAATTCAGCCTCTGATATGCACAGTCAAAACACCATCAATTTCCTGTCAAGTCTTTGTTCATTTCTTGGGTTGTAATTAAGTATCGATTAATAATTCATGGCACCCGCTCATTATTTTTTTACGGCAGCCCACTCTATGACACCGTATTGGATAAAGAAAGAGGAAAAGACAAATTTGAAGTAACTAAATAATTTAGAGCAACGATTTATCCTTCCTCTGAGACAACGTAGCGCCATGAGGAGTCAGAGTAAAGCCAGAGAGTGAGCGCAGCTGATCTGGGAACTGGTCTTCCCTGGGATGCTTTCTAGGACGAGACCCTTGGGGCCAATTTCTAATACATCAAGAATCAGGCCGGACCTGCAATATGTCAGGCCTTAGTCTGAGACTTTATTTAGACCTCAGAAAATTAAAAAGAAGAGAAAAAAAGGTTTGAAAGAAAAGAAAACTGGCTCTACATCACCCAGTATGTGAGATCTGCCTTTCACCTGAGTTCCCACAGGGTTGAGCAGTGGAAAATAATTATGGTTTTACAGCACAGCATGGTGCTTTCAATTAAAAAATATGTATACTGAACTATCCATTGTGGAGTTTTCTGTTGGTCAGTACCTCAACATTTAAAAATTTCACGCATTTTTCAAACGGAACCAAAAAGCTGATTACTTCAAATTAAGTGCCACGAACTGTGCGAGAATGCCATTTCATTTTAAGCTCTGAACTTCTTTTAACGGCAGCAAATTTATGCCGAAAAGTTTCAATTTGAGATCAAACGCTCCTTCATTCTCCCAGACAATATGCTAAATGCAGCAGATGTTAAACCGTAGCTTCTGCGGAAAGAGGTAATTAACAGGTTAATGAAATAAAGTGCTAATTATCACATTCTCTAACACCCCATTACCTTGACAAAATGTCTGTGTATTGGCGTAGATGCTGTAACAAGTGCAGAGAAAATGTTTAGTGAATCCCTCCTCTGTCAGACATTTGTGTTTTGCCTTGATGTATTTTGAGCTCTGCGAACTTGATAAGTGTTGTTTTCTAGCAATCAGCATGGAAAGACTTTAATCACGGCTTATGTTTTAACCCTTTCACGCAGATAAATCCTACTGTCTCAGCGTGCGTCAGGTCTGATATGTTTTTCGTGACTGGCTGTCAGAACAGCTTTCACTGATATCAAATCCACATCCAGCGCTCCAGAAAATTCAAGGCGATGACACTACATCCTCTTGGGATTAGATTACATTTTAGGGGTTCAGCTTGTTTGGGATCAAATGACAGATTAAATGCTATTCAGTAAATAATCTGTTCAAATGTTTACCATCTGACAGTTTCTTTCTGGGGATGTCTCTCCAACTGGTCTAAACTATAGATTCTCTATATTATTACTTTATGTATTCAGGCATTGGTTAAGCCCCATTTTAAAACCTTTTTTTTTTTTTAACTACAAAAGTATAATCAGCTGCTCAACAAGCCATATTATTTTAATTACATTTAAAATGCCCCGAAAAGCACCAACACCGGTTGAGTGGTCAAGTTAAGTGCCTTGAATTCGCACACAGCTCGCAGCACAAATCAGTCAAAGCAGCCATGCCTCTAATAATAAATACCCCTTAGCCTAAAAGCTTTTTAGATTCTTAAGCCATAAAGAAAGTCACCTCTCGTACAGTTGTCACGAAATAAAAAATTATCTATCCAAAACCAGACAGTTATTTCTCCAGACTATTTTTATCTCTATTAATGTGGGCGTGTGTGGGGATTGATTTGCTTTGGGGCCATCCTCAAGTGAAGTATTTAACTTTGCATATAATGAAAGTTAACTTTTTTAAACTATGATAAAACACAAGTGCGTTGTGAAAAATTAAGAGATCATAACTTGTAATAGTAATTGTCAAGTAATAGTTTGGCATTCAATTTTAATACCCAGCCTGGTCAACATGTACTTCATCCAAGTTCGGAAAGGTTAACAAAGAAACCGCACCCTGGTGACTGTGCTTTGTTTGTAACAACATCACCAAGGGACCTTATAATTAGACATTTTCTTTGTTTTGCAGTAATCGATGGTCCCACTCAGCTGATTGTGCGTGACGTGTCGGACACAGTGGCATTTGTGGAGTGGACGCCACCGAGGGCAAAGATTGATCAGATTGTGTTGCGTTACGGCCTCGTGGGAGGAGAAGGGCCACGGACCACCTTCCGCCTCCAGCCCACACTTAGCCAGTACTCTCTGCAGGTGCGTGTGCTTTGAAATGAGACTTGGCTAGAGTCATTATAGGTCACAAGTATAGTATTACCAGTATATCTGTGTGTGTGTGTGTGTGTCTGTGTTTGTACTTGCCATGCTTGTTAAACGATCTAATCTCACAGTCTGTCTGCCTTCTGTGTCTGGAGATAAAACAAATAGAAAACAAACACATAAAAAAACATAATGCAAAGAGATTATACACAGACTAAACGGCCTCTGTTGTTTTGGGTTTTTTTCCTCTCCACAGGTCCTGCGTCCTGGCTCGCGTTACGAGGTGACAGTGAGCGGCGTGAGAAGAGGAAACGAGAGCGGATCCATTTCCACTGAATTTACTACCGGTGAGGTCTGACAGCAAGCAGATGTGGTGATACTGGTGTGTGTGATCCTGCGTCTGCCTCTGAGAGTAGAACAGTAATGACATATGGCCTAATATACGCCACACTTTTTATCTGTATTGGAGGGAGTAGTGAACATCTGTTCAGGGGAATGTTTACGTTCCTAAAGTTTGTACTTATTTATGGAAACACTATGCTGATTTGTTTTTCCCCGCTGATGCCATATTTACACATTAAATATCTATTTGTGGTTGATACTTGAAGTAAAATCTACAGAAAACTGAAGAGGATACACCTTATAAAAATACAAAGAGAAATGTGTTTGATGAACATGAAGAGCTAAATATGAGTAACTGACAATTTAATGTGACCTGTGTTTGTTGTTTGCTTGTTCACAATCTCTGAGAATGGGTCTCAGTGTCCCCAACATTGTCAGCTTTATCGTTTTTCTCAGAGATTGATGCCCCCAAGAACTTGCGTCTCGTTTCCAAGACCTCTACCACGCTTGAGCTTGAATGGGATAACAGTGAAGCTGAGGTAGGAAGTCTTTTGACATTTTTTAACTGCCCGTGTTCTAGTATAGTGAAGCATAACCAGCTTGACTTAGTCCTCATGACTGCACAATTACCAAAAATTTGCAGGTAATATGAAGCCATCAATAATGAAAAGTGTATTGGACCCTGGCTAATATACGGCCAATATGAGGTATTTGCCAATATATTAATGGTTGCATTTATAATTGCTAATGACTATAAAAAAAATAGTTATAAAAAAGTAAAGAAGAGACTGAGAAACACCATTCAACCATGTTACGAGTGCTTATGTTTCTATGTTTGTCCACCAGAGGGCACTCTGCACATTCCCCATTGGCAACAAAACACAGCAACCGAGTAGAGTTGGGCAGAACATAAACGTTTATTTTTAATCTGCATTATCATATTTTCTTAGTAAGGACTAATAGAAAACTACACATAATAAATGTTAGGCAAATCTATTTATGTCTGAAAGAAAACATTTGTCAGACCAAATATCGGTGTTGGTCGTAAACATCCTATATCGGTCTGGCTCTTTTTTTAACTTTATAATTAACAACACCTTTGACATGAAGCATCTGTTGTTTATTATTTTGGCTTCCATATGCTTACAAAAGTGCATCTGATGCTATATTAATTATATCATCTTTAGATTTAATAGCTAACACATGACAAATATATAGAATTATACGCCGTGTAATGCATTAAATCACCAAGCATAAGCCAAAGTTGTCTAATAATAAAAATATTAATCATAATAAACATTATTTGTAAAAATGATCAAAACCAGTGTTACAAAGTACTAGAAACACAGAAAAAAAGAACAAACTAGATGGAAATTTTCAAAACAATTTATATATTAAGTTCTGTATGTAGTCAGTATAAGAATAGGAATAAAACACAGTATGATTCCACCTTAAGGAATAACTTAAAATCAACATAAAACTTTAGAAGTTATAAGATAAGCTAGGAATGTCAGACAATATAAAATCCATGTTAAAATTTCCCCCAAAAAGTGTTTAGCAGTCATTTAAAAGAAGATACTGATGAGGCCAGATTTCCTCAGGCAGTTCATACCACAACAAAAGCAACCCCAACAGCAAACGCTCGATTGCCTTTTGTTTTTAAGCGAGAGGTGGGAGCAGTTATCAGGTTTTGCCTGAGAATCTGAGGCTGCACACTGGTTGGGAGATATGATTGGTATAAATTCAGGGGCCAGGCCATGAAGGGCTTAAAAAATAATGAGTAAAATCTTCAAATCAATTCTAAAAGTCATGGGCAGGCAGTGTCGAGTCATTAAGACCGGCGTAATATGTTCAGTTTTCTTGGTTCTTGTAAGAGGTCTTGCTGCTGCCTATTTATGCTTTCTGATTGATGCCTGATAAAAAAAAACCATTATAATAATCTAACCGAGAGAAAATAAAAGCATGAACGATAGTCTGAGTGCCACTAAAGCTCAGGATTGATCGGATCCTTGCAGCATTCCTTAGGTGGACTGGGCGACCTGAATAATGAGAGAGTTTACAACATAGAAGTGCTGCGTACATCCTGATGATAACAACTTAATGTTATATAAAGATGGTGAACAAATTAAAGGAATAAACTCATACACTGAGATCTGGTGTCTGTGGGCGAGATTGTGCTGATGTGGGTTCAAATGTAAATCAATACAAAATTGAAACATGGAGGTGATCTCTTCCTGGGTTACGATCCACAGGGCTCACTGGATGATTTAACAAGTATAAAAATCAAGTGAATCAAACTATGGGAGTCCCGTCTAATAATCTCCATCACCATCATCAAACACCAAATGAGGGAAGATCTTTTGGGCGAATGCTGTCAAGTCAAATCAAGTTATTTATAAGCACATTTAAAAACAACAAGCACTGACCAGAGTGCTGTACAGCTGAAAGGTTAAACAGCATGAGCAGTAAAACAGTTAGTGTTAAGACTCAGGCAGGTTTTGTGGATACATCTGGTCAGCTGACCTTCATGATCTATTGGGAGTGTGCATTGTTGAAAGATCAGGAAGGTAAAACGGCGCTAACTCATTCAGTGACTTAAAAACAACCAAATCTTAAACTCAAAACGCACTGAAAGCCAGTGTTCGGAACTAGAAGACCTTAGACAATCAGTACCAAGGTACTTGAAGCTGTTTTGGTGGCATGTGATGGCCTAACACCTACCAAAGATGCTTCATTATGGCTTACCTTTAATTTGTCACTGGATTTGTAATACTGTGCAAGCTGCTGTTTTATTTCACTGCATTAAATAAGTGTAGTGGACCATCCTGAAACACATTGAGGCTTCTGCTGGCTCTCATACTGCAGGTACATCTTATATCAGTGAGCCTGCTGCATGTTTACCTTGCCCTTTTTATAAAAAACAGCTAATTTCCTCTTAATCCCTCTGACATTATGACTCCTCTTAAATTGTTTCAATAAAACAGCTTTTTTATTCCTTCTACTTTTTCTTTTTTTCCCCCTTCTTGGACACGTTACCATCCCACACAGACGGGTCTGCCTTTCGCTGCCTTGGAAAATGCCAGTTAGAGCGCTGGAGCAAGCGCTTCACTCGGTGCAAATGGTCACCGAATGTTTTGCTGTGAATGAAAATGTGATAAATTGCGTTTTACTCAGCTGTCACCATGATATTTCCAGGGCTCGCTAACCACACATTCAGACTTATAAAGACCGTCTGTCTCGATGCCGGCAAATTTATTCATCCTTCTGATTCTGCACTGCAGTGTTGACAAAGAGCCAAACATCACACTGTGCCGAGACAAAATAAACCAAACAATGCACAGTAAAAAAAACCCACACAGTTTTGGACTGTTTGTGTAAGTCTTGCGTAGCGAGACTTTTTCAGGCATTACCTTCTCTTTAATGCTGTAAATATATCTGTGTTTAAATGTAGGTGGAGAGTTACCAGGTGGTTTATAGCACATTAGCAGGAGATCAGTATGACAAAGTCATCGTACCGCGCAATGAGGGAGCCACTACTAAGACTACTCTCACAGGTAAGTGAGGAATAACCGTTTTTTTGCGTTTTGAATTATTTATCCTCGACGTTTGTAGAGTTCCTATTTTCCTGATGCTTTCAGTATCATCACAATGCATCTAATATGTACCAAAGAAGCTGGAAGTGTCTGTGTTTTACATGGCAAGATTATCTCCGGAGCTAACACTTGGCTGACGGCCCACTGATTGTATCTGTAGAAACGCTTGTTGTCCTGCGGGCGTATTGAAAGGCTGTCAGAAAGATGGGGTCAGCTGGGATGTTTTTTTCTGAAAGGCCAGAGTGCTGAAAAGGGCACGGCCTGCATAAGAATAGAAGCAAAAGGTCCCCGTGTTATTCTGTTCGCTCGTTGCCATCGATGCTCTCCCTCACTCTCATCCATTCTCTGTCATTCTCATTTTCCCTCTCCCCCTGCTCTCCTCCGCTAATAATCTCTGTCGTCCGCCTCCTTATTTTTCATTCCTCATCTCTTCATCTCTATTTCTGTAGCTCGAGATCCTCTCTGTGGATGCACTCAACCGATTTGAAGCTGATCAGTTGTGCAGTTGATTTAAAAAAAAAAGAAATTTCTTCAGAAATCACAACGATGCTACATGTAAATTTGCCGAGACCTCATCACCTGTGTCGAGCTAATTGGGGCTGTCATGAAAAAAACTCAGTGTAATTGATGTGCACTTTGCACGAGGACAAGAACGTGAAGCACTCTCTGTGATTATTATTATTACGAATTTTTTTGTTCCTGCTACGTTATGTGTTAAATTAGTTCCCGCTTCTCTGTCTCTCTTTGTATCTCAGAGCTGCTTCCAGGCACAGAGTACGGCATTGGCATTTCTGCCATGAAAGGTAGCAACCAGAGTACACCAGCCACAATGAACGCCAGGACGAGTGAGTGAATTATGCTTTGTGCTCCACTGTAAAAAGCCAGTGAGTCACTCGCGCATGTACAACACAGAAATCACAGCGGGGAATCGCAGCATCACAGCAGGCTCGTGGGCCCATTTGTTATTATACGTGTAATTCTCACCTGTGGTTCGGCGCTGCCACTCCAACTACTAAAAGCCATTTTAGAAAATTAAGCAAAATATGTTTCGCCGTGACTTGTACTCTTCTCCAGAAGTGTTTGGTATTGTCGGCTTGGGTCAAAGTTCCCATTACAACATTTTAAAGCTGTTATAATGCATACTTTTCTTTGCTAATGGCCCTCTCTTTACCTCCATACTTGATCCTTTATTTGAATATTTATTGTGTTGCTGAGTTGTTTGGCTGAAAGGAGAAAAAAAATGTAACCCTTTGTCTGAAAAGTGAGTGCGTGGAGGTGCCTCGCTAATCTTTCCCCTCACGTTCACCGTCAAGCACATCTTTCATCCAGGTGCAGTTATTTTAATGGCTAAAGGTTTTCTGCACTTTATAAAAAATTATGCTTCCATTTGTCTTACAAACAAGCTCGTTGTAACGCCTCTTTTCCCTGCACTCGTTTTGAACTTTAAAATGCATCACATCTGTCGCATTTCTCTTAAAGAGCTTTAAGAGAGCCGTTTATGAAGACAGCTTCATGGCAGCGCCGGTGTTACCTTAAGCCAGAGCTGCTAAAATAATCATTTCATTTAACACACATTTACATCAGGTTTTTTTTATGTCTGTTTGACCTCCTTCAGGCAAACAAGGCGGCAGATGATTAGCTGAGGATTAAACATTGATGATCCACTGGGCAAACTGGGTTACTCATTCTGCAGGGAAGAGAACAACTCACTTAAAAACACAAGAAATATAAAAAGATTAAAGGAGACAGTCAGATCGTTGTGGTAATATGCATTAAACCCATTGGAAACGCTGTAAATGTTTTATTAGTAATGGTCTGTCCTTTAATGTGAGAACTGCACCACAGTTACACAAGTAGACAAGAGTATAGCAGAAACTAAACATGAATTAAAAAACATAGTAACCAGTAGCAGTAATTATGTTTCCACTGAAATCATGAAAGCAACATTTTTGTTCTTATTTTTAACCATTTCGAGCTAGATTTACTAACCTGAATAAAAGCACTGTTGGTATTTACAAAAATGCAATGACAAGGCTGTGAGATGTTTGCGACCACAGCTGTTGCATTTCTGAGAGATCTTTTCTCAAGGTGCAAAATAAGGACAGCAGGATATTCAAGCGCGCAAACTGATAGTGCTTGATAGTGAAATGAATCTTTCTAACCACATGTGCGAGCACTATTTGGGGATTATGCTCATGTGATGTTTTACCTTGTTTAGTAAATCTGGCTCTAAATTTATTTGAAAATATTGTTAAAAATCCAGCGCAATTGTGTTGCCCTCAAATGTAGAAAACAACATGTCAAATCAAATTTGAATCAGTGAATATTTCCATAAACTCTTATTTTGTTTTATGCAAATGCACGCGAGCACGTACTGTAGGTGACACAACACAGTAGTATTTTCCCAAATGACAGCAGGTGGTAATGGGCTAAGAAGCTGCAAAGACAGTTGAGAAGACGACTGAGAACAACATTAATATAAATACTTGTGAATTTGAAGGAGGATTAAGAGGAAGGTCCCTCAAAGGTCATGTATTTTTTCGATGTGCACCCACTCAGATATATCTTTCGGGGTGAGAGTGTTACATGAATCTGGGCTGGAGTTTTGAGTTTAATTTTGAGTGTTGCTTTCCCTGTTTTAGCTCTGGATGTACCTATGAATCTGACTGTGATGGCTTCCACGGACAACACCATCACTCTGAATTGGGGCATAGTCCAGGGCCCCATTGACCACTACAAGGTCACCTACACATCAGCCTCCGGCGTCACTAATGAGGTAAAGAACACTGAAACGATAACCATGTATATGTCTGATCTGGACCTTGTTTAACTCATCTTCCCTGTTCTAGCTGACGGTGCCTAAAGACATCAACACCACCACTTTGAAGGACCTGGAGCCTGGGACTGAGTACACCATCACTGTAGCAGCAAGAAGAGGAAGACAGCAGAGCACTGCGGCTACCATAGACGCCTTCACGGGTAGGGAGCGTAGTCTAATTTCATATAGTGAAGGACTAACTTTTAAAGTGTTTAATGAAGATCAGCAGAGACGGGCATACAGATAACATAATGATGAGATCATTTCCTCGACAAACAGTCTCCCTTTGTCTTTTCCATTGCAACAGCTTCAACTAAATGTTCCTAAACAGCACTCATTTAATCCGTTCAGGCTTCATAAGGAGCTCAAATAAATTCACTCACGAGCGTCTCTGCACAGACAAAGACATGAAAGATCAGCCCATTACTACGGAAAGCTGGAGAACACTTCTAAAGACGGTATAGGGTGTAATGAAGTTGAATGATGGATATAATGAACTAAAGTGTGACATCAGGTGAGGGGAGTACCGCTTAAAGAAAATGGAGGACCGTGAAAGACTTCGAAGGAGCAATTAGCAGAGGCAAATTATTCCAGCCCGCTAATGAGCTTGTTACAAGCGTTCCTAATTGCACCTCTCTTTTGCATCTCAATGTATTTGTGTTTCTGTTTCTTCTTACTCCGGTTCGTACCACATTCTCTCCCTTTGCCGTCACGCTCTGTGCTGTCTGCTCGCCCTGTTTTTCAGCTTGATGTTGCTCCTTTCTTTTCAATCACTTCGTTTTCCTCTAAACTCACATCCATCCGCCCAACTATACGTCGGACCGCCTGTCAGTCTACTCCACTCTGGTAGTTCTTTGTTTTTTTTTTTCTTTTTCCGAAAGCTTGACGTGAGTTTCAGTTGCACAAAGGCCGGTTTCAGAGATGATGGACATGCAATCACCTGCCATCATTCCTTTCTTTACCAGTGTCATTATCATCATCTCTTTTTCTTTATTGCTGCGGCCATCGTTGTTGTCACCGCCGCAGCGTCATAATCATGTCATCCTACTTCTAATCTTTTTGTTATCTCGCACTCCTTTGGTAACACCACTTTAACTGTCTGGGGAGACGTGAAGGAATGATACGATGACAGATCAAGAGAATCAGAGGACAAACCATAAATTACCTGTCATCTTCTCATCCACTATTCACTTATTGGAGACATCTGTCCGCCTTCACTCAGGTATACTCAGGTGATGCGTTCATTTGCATGTTTCCAACATTTATGCGTTCAGAGTTTTCTAATACACGATCTGCACATCAGTAAGAGTAACCATAGAGATAAAACATGGACTTATCTTCTGGGTCCAAAAAATGAAGCTAATGCGGACCTGCACTTTGTCTGAAGGCCACCAGATGGCGATAGCTGCAGTAGCTATGTATATTGGAAACCAGCTTTCTCTTTTGACCTCTGTAAACGCTTGCAAACACTGATGAGTTTATGCGCTCAGTCACTTTTAGGACATATTTATTTATGACTATTTCAAAAAATCTTCTCATACTTTCAAAACAGAGGATTATCTGTGGTATGAAACGGCTTACAAGTCAATCACAAGTCAATAGCCAATGAGTGAGCAGTTTCACAGTCAGAACCGCCTCTCTTTGTCACGTGAGTTTTTAAAAATGACTATCTCGAGACTTTTAAACAGGACAACCCACTGGGCACGTCGCGGTAGCTATGTTCATATTTATGAAGTGTAGAAGTGTAGTGAATTATGACAGATTATTAAGTGATTTAGTTTGTCACACTGGGATGTGATTCTTAATATAGTCCAACCTCCGAAGATGTTAAACCCCATATTTTTGCGTTTAATAGCATCTTTATATTCTAACCTTTTAACCAAAGTCCTTTCAGACTCAGAGTGTAGCCTGTTTCCACAGACTGCTTGTCGCAAGATCCTCCATCCTCAGCTAGAGATAATATTAACTTTTCTTTTATTAACTATTAAGTTGAAGTTTTTTCACAATCCATGACAAGGGTTTCTCTTTAAGGAAACATAATTTTCTCTATAAAAAAGTTCCATTAATATCTACAAAGGTGAGTCACATTGTCATCTCACATCACCCACATTGCCTCTATGTGGTCTTACTTGCTGTTAAACCATTAACTAGCTTATCACTGTCATCTTGATCAAAGACGGCACTTTCATCACGTCTGTGGAATTTTGCTTCACACAGACTCTCGACCCCTTTTGCATTTTTTTCATATTTAATCAATGCGTAGCCACAATCTTCTCTTTTTAAAGCTGCTCTGGAGACACGTTTGGATCTTTTTCGTACCCCGTCTCTCCACCACTGTTGAGATCATGAACGCACACAGGCACTGGTATCGTGTGGTCTATGTGATACAGAATTTCTGCTGACTGCACATGGCAGTAACGCATACTGACAACTTGTGAAGAATAATAAAAGGCAGCGGCTCACCAAGAAGAATACAGATGCAGGCCAGTGTAAACAATGCAGGTTTCATATGATGATTGATTGCAAAGAAAACTCCACAGGATGCCTGTAATCCTGGCAGTTCAGGAAAGGAGAAGTCAGTGTTGCCACATTTCCCCTGCTTATACATCCACGCATGGCTAATTAAATTCAAGTCCTCTTGCATTTGTTGCTGTGTCAGCTGGTACACTACTTCATATTCATTACATCATCTCCCGTCCAGGTCATACATTTTGACAACAGCATCTGCTACTATCATCCTTTTTCCATTTTCTTATTATGAACAGTCCCATCACATCTTCATCCTAACGGCGGGTAATCTCATTAGTTTCCCTTTTTATGACCAATTAATTCATTACTGCCACATGATTGTGGTTTTCTTTGACTCTCACCTTCCCTATCAAGATTACACCCAAGGCTAATTTTCTCAACTGTATTATAAACGGTCTGTTACATCATCGAGGACGGCTTTCATCCATCACTTAACGGCTTGTCTGTCATCTCTATAATGACAGCAACTGCCTGTTTTTTGTTTCCCATTAACATTTCGTGCTCATAGCAGGATTTTTGCCTGTCCTTGAAAGCTCCTCGGTGACCTCTAAACCCCCTCGTTCCTCCAGGAATCAGACCTGTAACCCACCTCTACTTATCAGAGGTGACTTCAGACTCTGTGTCAGTGGCGTGGAGCGCCCCAGCACCGCCCGCTGAACTCTTCATTCTGAGCTACAGCTCTGCCGACGGGACCGACACCTCTAAGGTGACACTGCATGGCTCCAAGACGAGGTCACTGATCCAGGGGCTGCTGCCGTCCACTCATTACACCGTCAGTCTAATCACAATACAGGGGGACGTTGCTTCAGAGCCCATTACAGCTTCACTTACTACAGGTGAGCTGCTTGAATAATGGAAAAAAAAAGTTTGTAAGTGATGAAAATAGAGAAACATCAGCAGCAAAATAAAGGTTTGTGACTTTGTGGGGGTCCTGTCCAAGTAGATATGCACACTTAGGGTCATAGTAATTTTGTTTGTCTATGTGTGGCAAGAGTACATGCATTTTTCTGCAACTCCGACCCAATGATTGTGAATTTTTTTTAAATGTAAATAGAATCCAATCATTTGCAAAACCCATAAAGTTATATTAGAAAACACATGAAATGTTTTAACTGAGACATCCAGCAAAAAGATGCTATTTCTATGACAAAGATGACCCAGAGGCGTTGAATCCTATATCAGACCCAAGAGTCCAGCAGCCAGTCTTCTCAACTCCCAGTCGTTTGTTGACTGTTGTGAAAAAATAGTTGATGTTACACAGCACATTGTCTCACTTAAAACATTTAATATGTTTTTTATGTTCTGTGAATAAAATATGGCTTTGTGAGATTTACAAATCATTGTATTATGTTGTTATTTACGCAGCATCCCAGTTCATTGGAAAGTGAAGAAAAAAGATGATCATCACAACTTCTTGAAGCTCAAAGTATTATTTTTAACACTACAAAACCCCAAGGATCCTAAATATTCTGAGTCTAGTATTATTCAAGATAATCTCACACCCCAGAAGCTCTAAATTAGCAATGCTTTGTATTTGTGCATGTAAAATGACATCAAGTTCCCAGCATTTATTTATTTGTTTTAGCTTGATCTACTTAACAATTAAGAAAGAGTCCAACTCTAATCACCTTAATCATATTTATGAATGAGGGATACAATGTAAAAAACAGAGATGGGGAACAGGAAAGAAAGGATTTTGGGGGAGCAAAATATTGAATTAACATGTATGAGGTAGCGTGTAAAAGGAAAGAGAAAGAAAATTAGTTTAAGAAATGGAAATACAAAGTGATTTTAAATTAAATATGTATTTGCAGAAATGCTTTTTTTAGGCTTTCATTTGCGCAGCACCACAGCAGAATGACTTTTGTAATTAGAAACTGCCTTGGAGGCTTTTTTCTTTTTTTCATTTTTCTCCTTTTTTTCTGGTCAGATGTAGATGTAGAGATGCAGTGCCAAAAATAAAGGTTTTGCTCCTCAGTGCTATCAGATGGTTGAGGTTTGCACAGTTAAAGCCAACCTCAAAAACCCAGATGTAACGTTGGATTATATTTGAGAAAAAACAAGTGGCTAACAAGTGTCAGCCTAATGGAGTGAAGGCCATGCAGTAGCAGAAAGGAGCAGCCTGCTTGTTTTGTTTTTCCTGTGTATTCACCCATTTAAGTATATTCTTCTCTTTTTTTCTTACATCTTAATTACAGTTTCTCTATCACTTCTCTCCATGTCTTATTAACCTATTTTACCTTCAGCGACGCCACCGCGACCCCTCGTTAATTAGTACAGTATTTCTGTGTCATTTTTCTGCAGACTTTCTAAATTCCAGTTTAATTGGCAGATTATGAAAAGAAGCTCTCCCTCTCCCATTTGATTGCGACTATGCTATTTACATCTCAGAGAGAAGAGAGATAAATGAATGAGAAGAGGGTCAGTATTATAACCTGCCGGAGAGTTTGACAATGAGCTGGAAGACAGAGGATCGCTCTCTTTCTTTGTAGCGAGGGGGACAAAAGGAAGAGGATGAGACGAAAAAATAATGGAGGGCTGGAGACAAATGGAGAAAATATGAGAGCCAGCAGTAAACAATAGAGATGTTAACTTAGCATCGGTGGCAGAAACACCTGCACATGCCGGTTTCAAACACCCCCTTGGCAGCTTGGAGCCTTCGCTTTCTCGCTTTACATTCACGCACACACAAGAGGCAGATTTTTAGGGGGTGAGATTGGATGGGACAGATGTACACTATTTCTTGCACCGGTCTTTACGCTGTGATCATTTTAGCGCCCTGCTTTGATCTCACGTGTTTGAACGTGAGCATTGATGGGGGGCTGCTTGTTGCCTTGAATCACTTGCTACACTTGAACTGTGCTGCATTAAGATTTAACCACAGTTTTACTTTATGGTCCAGCTCCGCTTTGGCTGACATAATGCAAAAGTGACTAGCTGTATATCTCTGCCTGCATCCCCCCCCCCAGGAACCTTTATAAGAGAATAAATTTTTACAGCCATTATTCTTTCTTTGGTTCTACATTTGCCAAAGCAAACGTAATTAGTAAAACATGCACGACCTGAATAAATGCAACTGTATTCCATGCGAGCAGACTTTAAATTAGTCCTCTTCCAAGAATTTGAAATCTCCTGCTTTCTGCGTGGGAATAATAGCCATAATTCTTCTCAAATCAGGGAAGAGAGAGTGTAGCAGTCGTCTATAAGTGCTCTTACCCATCGCCCACAACAGGAGATGGAAGCGATCTCTTAATCTTGATCTTTGTTTTTTTTTTTTGTTCCATTCTCGTACGTTCTTATTTTTTTTTCTTCACTGTCTAAATATCTTTCTTTTTTTCCCTAGGATCTGTCAGGGCTTTAATTGTTTGCTCAAATTGTCTTCACCGTAACCTTTTCCGTGGCAGCTCAGTGGTCTGAGGAGACATATAAAACAGAATTTTGGCAGGGGAGGGGTCTCCTCTGTGTAAACCCTGCTCAGCCTCAACATTAACGGTTGTGTTTTTTTTAGCTTGATGCTGCTCAGTTTCTTCTCGCTAATCTTTTGATGGTGTTTTGTTCGTAATAAAAATGTGCATTAAAAATTCACACAGTCTCGCAGACCCAAGGACAGCTCTGTTTCTATGTAAATTTAATGAAGAGGACATTAAATGTGGACAAAACGAGGGTTACTGAACTACTCGGGCCTTCAAGGGCAGTCTTTCTTATAGATTTTCATGAAAATGACTGAATTAGCTTTGTACATAACATAACATGCTCCTATTATATGCTGGGGCTCATCCTTTTTTTTTTTTATACCATTTGAACCGCATGACAGTGTTTTCTTTCTCATCGCACTTTTAGGCATGGACCCACCAAAAGAGATGATGGTGTCGGACGTCACCGAGGATGCCGTGACGATCTCTTGGATCAAACCGCTGGCTCCGTTTGAATACTATAAGCTGTCCTACCAGTCGGCCAGAGGTAGCGTGCACATAACTGCAAACCGTGATGTTATTCTTAAGTGCATTTGAATAACACGCTATTTATTATATTAGCATACACAGAGCACACTGCTGTTCCTTGTTACAGTTAAATGAGCATGGCATTTGCTGTAGGAGGCTCCCTCTGATGTAAGATACATTTTGTAGCAGAGCGCCGTGCCACACACCTAATTAATTATAACATTTTATCAGTGAAAGGTAATTGAAATTTTAATTAAAATTCCATATTTATTAAGTATTTTCCCTGTGATGCAAAAAAAAAAAAAAGGAACAGCAGCTGGCTACGCTGCGTACCCTGTACGTGAAGAAGGAGATCAGTGTGACAGTTCTGGTGTTCAGGTGCTGGCCTCTCTCTCGTGTCCCCTGCAGGTCGAGTAGACAGCGTGATGATTGACAGCGATGTTACAAACTACACCCTGTCCAGTCTGTTTCCTGCCACAGAATATGAGATCAGTCTCAAAGCTGTCAGCGGGAGTCAGGAGAGCAGTGTTGTCAGCACTTCCGTCTTCACAGGTAGGAGCTAACCACAGAACCATTAGGTCCATATTGTTGTGGGGGCCCTTCGAGACCGGGTTTACTCATGCAGGAAGAACGTTGAGGAGACTCCGATGTCTTACACAGAAACAGTTAGTGCAGGAAACTCAGCCAAGGAGAACAGAGTGTGGTAGCTCAGGTGGACACATGTAAAGGTATTCAAGTGTGCTGAGCTGTTCTCCACATAGTGCCCTCTCTTTATATAAAACCTTATTGCATTGCGTGTTTGTTCCAGGTCTTAAATAGCTGCAAGGTATTTCTTAGACACCTAAAAAAGAGCTGCTGTCTACTATAGTTCTGCTTTAATGTCTCAAGTAAGGCAACACTGTGAATGACTGGTAAGTGAGCAACCCCACCTCAGAGTGACACGACCTAAATTTCCCTCTGCAGAAAAATAAATGAATAAAAAGCTTCCACATTTTCGCAATAGTGAAAGACATACCTAACCATCGATTGTTATTCATATACACAATTGTTTTTCTCTTGTCAGCTTTTATGCATGTACTGTAGTTAGGTGCCTGTGCAAAGGATGATGTTACTAACCTTTAATGTTCTGGTAAGCCCATTGTTTCTCCAGCTAGCAGCAGCGTCCATCGCCAGGCAGATAGCCATACAGTCTTTATCCCGTCTCCTATGAAGATATGTTGGCTAACAGCAAACACACTGAGTATAGTGAGTTAAGTACAAAAGCAAAGCAAACTGAGCAGTAATGGACTGAAACAGGTTAAATTAAAGGTAGGCCACTAATGACCATGCTTATAGTCAATTTATCAACACCAGAGTTATCATAGTTTTGTATTTTCTAATTATTATTATTTTCTCTTTTTTAATTGAGACTTTTCTTCTTAACTTCAGACAGTTTCCAGAGTGGATTTTATAATTTCAGTTTAGTTTTTATTGTTTGATTAAATTATTATTGTGTAGAGGGCATAATGGATTTTTATTATAATAAACTTTTCGAATCTTTAGTATTCGATTAACTATAATATTCTGATCTAGACATTGTTGTCCTTAATTAATATTAAGAGAAACAATCACAGCTGTGTTTCTGAAATTGAATTGTTTACTTTTTCTTCTCCTAAAAAAGGAAACAGTAAATTAAAAAATGAGTCAATCAAAGTCAGATAATCTGTAAAATAGTTTACGTTTAATTTTCTGAAGATCACCTCGAAGGTTAGTGGTATTTTGTTCTCCTCTGAGGTCGTAAAATCACAGTGCTGACAGTTCTCGAATAAAGTAAGTCTTGCTGTGAGAGGGCAGCAGAAGGACAAATGTTTGCCATGTAAAATAAATGAAGAGTTCCTCCCCTGCTAGACTTTCGGGTCAATTGCTCTGTCCACAGCTACAACAGCTGTGTTAAAAACGAGCAGCAGACTAAAATGCACACACAAGTATGCACACAATCCAAGGGTGAAGCTCATGTTGTAGACGGTGCAGTCTCTGCCGCTGCAACAGATGAAAGCGTCCACTCCGTGACCCAGTAATTGGTAACCTGCTCCCAGCTCCATCTCACTGTCTTCTATCTCTCTGGCTGCTCTCCTGCCTCCTATCTCTATCCTTTGACTCGCTTCAGTCTTTTAGCACTGTGATGTCTCTCTCTGTCTCGCCCATTCTGTCTCGATTTCCTCCTCTCCTCCTCCCTCCGTCTTCTCTGCCCTACCTCCCTCCTTTGTTTTGTCTTCAGAATTTAATGAAATCAAAGGTCTTGTGTTTTCATGCTTTCAAAATTAGCACCAAATCATAAGTTAGGTAAAAATAAAACCTCGCCGTTGCACACACGTGTGACAATGAGATACCATTCTTCTCTGAAGAATTCCGCTAACCTGAGATTAACACACTCTCCCAGTGCTGTATTCAAAATGCTCGGTGTACGTGCGAGAGAGGGGAAAGGGAAAGCTGAGGAGAGCGCAGAATTGGAGCGGTAACAGGCGAGTAGAAGGTGTGTTTGCATACCAATGAGACCTGATTCACCTGGAGCGGCAAGGTTCAAGAATCCAGTAAGAAAAAAGAAGCTGAAAGAGACCCTTTCCCTTGTTTTCTCTTCCTCCCCCCTGCCTCGCTTCCTGCCTCCTCCTGTTCTTTATTATCAGCGCCTTCTTCCAACAATCCCAGCGTGGGTACAATGAGCAGAGACGGTGTGGCTGTAATAGCCTGAAAAGAACATAACTACAAAGTCAAGCTTGTTAGAAATGGTAAACAACATTTTCCTCACATCCAAGAATGCTCAACCAGGGACACTTTTACACTGCTTTCAACAACAATACATAAACAAGGGATTTGAAAGCGTAATCCAACACTGCCTGGTCAAGTATGTAATAACTTGGGTAACGCTGCAATTTCGACTTACTTCACATCCGTAATCAATTACTGTGCGAAGGGCTGAGAAAGCGGGGAGCCATATTTCATTTTGCAAGCGCAGCAGGTACTGCTAATCTAAGATGAATTTGGCGGGGGTGACACTAAATGGACTGTGTGAAGGCCTGTTTAAGGGCTAATGACGGTGCTCATTAGCAAAGTGTCAGGACCCCCAGTAAAGTATTACTCTTCCCAAAACTGAAGTTTGTGGAAAGAACATTAACATCCTCCCTGCCAGCTGCGTTAAGAGAAAACAGAGGAGGGGAATGCACTTGCTTTTTTTAATTGAAACATGCTTAAAATAGTCCACACAATACCAAATAACACTTAATGAACATCAGAGATAACACATAAATTGACAGAAAAACAAAAGGCATAATGCCAGGCATGCAGAGGAAATGGTAAATACAAAAATGGAAAAAATTTGACTAAAAAGGGTAATGAAAATAAAGGAAAGGAGAAGAGAAAATAGGTTTTTATTCTTTTTTTTCATCACTAGTGGATTAGGATCACTAAAAAAAGAAATGGCACAGAAATAGTTAACAGTCAGTGACTGTTACATGTTTGCTAAGAAACAGTTCTCGAGTAGGGATTGCAATAATGTGCAGCTCCACAGAACAGAGAACTCACTTTATCAGCAGGACAGTTACCGCTATGCTAATGTTATGATAATTATTATTTTCTGTGAATTTACATAATGATCCTTATCTTAAAGACTCCTTTAGGTTCAGCTACTAAGTGCCACAAAACCAGTAATTAATCTTTACTTAATGATTGGGCGTAATGACTGGTCTCACATTTTAAATGACTGTGTGAGTGAGCATTTTACCTACACTTGAAACACACTCAACATCCAACATCATCAGTCAACCGGTATCCCTGCGGCTCTAAAACGCCACAGATTATATGCAGCCAAAACACTGTTTATGTGTCTAAATATTTGTGCGCCTCATGAGTATTAACGCGACACCAGGAGCACGCATATACACGTTCAGCGTAGCTCCGAGGTTAATGTGTAGAGCATGCGGCTTTCTTTTGCTTTGCCACAATAATGAGAGGGTGTACAGAGATTTACTGGAGTTTTGTGTCTTACTGGCTTTAATGGCCACAGTCTCAATACAACGCAGGCTGACCTCGTGACCAAGCGGCACAGCTGGAGTGTTTCTGAAATATCCTACGTTGTGAATTACACACTAATAATGAGCTGAGAGCATATTTTCTGCATGTAACAGCAAGCCGAGCGCCCTAAATAAAACATATAACGACGACTTAGAACATCAAACCTCAATCATCTCCTCACCAGGACTGCTGCAGGTCTATCAGGTATTGCTGTGTTTGTGTTGTTTGTGTTGCACCATAATTAAGATCTGAAAAATATGGTAACAAGAGAAGAAGAAATGGTTTCAAGCAACTGGTTTGCTGTGTGAAACTCTATATTTTTCACCCTAAATCATAGTAGTTTTGTTGCCTAAATCTAACCAAACAGTGGAAAAGAAATAAGCAGGTAAAAAGTAAAAAATATTGGGAGAAAAATAAGTCTAAAAATAATATGTTGCCTTTCTTATCTCTTAGATGAAAGGTTTATCCTTGAGCCATTCAGCTACATCAGTATGGTCCCTTCTGAGGATATTTGGCATGGATATCAACTGTCTGCTTATCCAGATATCATGGATGCAAAGAAAGTTCTGAAAAATATCCACTGTTCCCAAGGCTAAGTCAGAAGATGAGCCAATAAATCATCGTAGTACGACACATACTGTACATAATAAATACAAAGTTGTGATCAAATCATTTTCTGCAATCATATAATGGCCTGCATTTATATTCCCACTAGGCCTTGACTTCCAGATCGGAGTGAAAGTATATAGATAGCCTGAGCCTGTAATTCACCCATGCAATCAGTAGATGCAGTATGATGATTGAATTATCGCAGCTCTTGATGAAGGAGGATGACCTGTTTATTTTTTTCTATTTTGGCCATCTCTACTCTATCTCCATTGCCAATCTAATTGACTTGGCAAGACTCCATTAAATTCACTTAAACCTTTTTGCAATTAAAGTAATGATTTTAATCAGGTTCGTCCATCTATCGCAGTGTTAAGAAAGAGCACAATTCTTTTTTTTTTATTATTCTGATGATGGCAGGGCAACATTAATTACCTCATCTGGGCAGAGATTGGGATCACTCGCAGTGTTGTGTGTTCTCCTGCCACGCTCTCTGCTGTGCCAAAATAACATGCCTGAGGAGAAATTGGGGTTGAAGCACTGAGGTTAAAGGTATAATTAAATTCAAACTCAATTTTGGCATGTCCAGCAGTCTGAGAACAAAATTAGGGAGAGGGTGTGAAACAGGAGGCCTAAGAGAATATGAAACTTTCGCATCACGGTGAAGTCACCATTAATCAGCATTCTTGCAAAGTTTTTTTGTCTCTGCAATTCATATGAATATATATCTCGTTGTTGTCAGTCTAATTAATAATTTAGGTGTGTCTCCAATTGAATTTCACACAGTGTTCAAAATACAAAGCTCTCTGCATATGAAGGGAAATATGATGCAGCTTGTTAATTTGTGAACAATTCAGTGATAAGTTATTTTCCATTAAAAGCGGTGATTGACAGAGTCAATTTCCCTTTTTCTTTTATTTGCTCTGAGCTTACTGGGTGAGAAATCCAGTGACAGCCAGCAGCTAAGAGATGCATGATTTTACATGAACTTTGTTATGTGATACAAAAAGTAGTGTAGCAGTGAAAACTCCTCTTTGAACATTGGCTGCCTTTTATTCTATTCTCTGTCAATCCACGATTGATTTTGTTCCATACACGTTTGACAACAAGGTATAAACAAGGTACTTTTACTGCATTGGCCTTGTGTTTGGGATCATTGTCATTCAGAAAAATGAAATTAATGCCAATCAGATGCTTTTAGGATGGTACTGCATGGTAGATCAAAATCTGATTATGCTTTTCTGTGTTTATAATTACATCAATTTTGATAAGATCCAACACCACTTGCTAAAATGCAGACCCAAACAATGACAGAGACTCCACAGATGACTGTAGATACTCACTGATGTACATCTATCCCGACCTTTTTTATACATATTGATGATGACTTTTGATGATGACAAAAATTTGGATTCATTGCTCCATAAGACCTTTTCTATTCTGGCATTCCTCAGCCTTTTCCCCCACATTTCCCGTAAGAATGGCTTAAGTGAAGACTCATTTGAAGTGTAGATTAAGCAGCTGATGGGCTAGATACATCTCTCAAGTCCAGGGTCAGATTTTTGCTGGATTTCTTTCTTATTTCTTGAGGACATGACTTTCAAATACTCCTGATTGGCTGTAGATCTTTTTGGGGGACATGTCACTTCTTTTGTCATCCTCTTGTCCACTTCTGATTTTTTTTGGAACAAATTATGTATTTTTACAACAGGTTTCTAGACACAAAAAGGCCAATTTAAAATTTTAAAAGGGTTCTTTGGTAAGTTCTCTGTTATGTGTTATGCTCTCTGTTTCTCTTGCCTCTTGACTTGAGTGCCTATTTTTTCCTCAAATGATTTATAGGTCACTGTTAAGCAAGCTGACAAAAAATTGTATAGATTTGCACACGCTACAAACAAACAAGATCATTTCGACAATGTATAGCAAACATGTTGTGTTTGTCTGCAATGAGCGGACCGCTGTCATTCTTGGTTGTGATCCACAGCTGTCAATTTATCTGTGTAGCACTGACACAGTATCTCATAAATGATGGGGAAGACGTTCAAAGAGCCTGATATTATCTTTTGTTTAACTGTTGTGTTCATTCTTGTCTTGTATTGCAAACATAGCGATGGATATGCCGTCGGAGTTGACGGCCCTCAACATCACCCCTCAAGGAGCCCTGCTGAGGTGGAATCCACCCGTGTCCAATGTTGACAACTACGTGGTGACTCTCACACACAACCAGGGTGAGTGTGCATTCATTTGCTTGATTTGATGTTGGAAAGTCAGTGAAAGGACACCAATTAGATAACATCATTAACAACCATTAAACTGTAGCACGACACTGTGACTACTTCACATTAAAACACATGAAAACATTAGCTTATACTTCCTTACGTTGACAAAATTACTGTAGTGCCCATCTACAGTTGGCTCTAACTTTAGAAGACCATAAATACCATACACACACACATACATACATACATACATACATATAGTAATCCTGTAGTAGTGGCAGCATACAGTGCAATGAGAGTCATCGGTTGCATGTGAAGATGTGACAGGTACCATCACAGTTTTCCCATTAAGAAGTGAGATCAGTGCAATGAGTCCTTTGAGGCAATATAGATCCATTTGTCTTGCTTTCAGAACAGTTCATTATGCTTGGTTAAACTGCTTAGCCTTGGCAAAAACAATGCAGTTACTAGGCGGCATGCATTTCTGATGCAGCCCATGTCTTCAGCATCTGACAGCCATATCCAGACAGGTAAAAGATAGCCATATTGCTTGGCCCCTCAGAGCCAGTCTATAATGTGCTCCCTGAACCAAGTGGATGACTGCCAAGCAGCAGTAGGTACAGATATGGCTTAAAGACACTTGACATGCACACAACTAGAGCGCTGATATGTGTAGGTATAAAAGGTTTCCAAGAAATTGGATATTGTTTTACTAATAGGTCAATACAACACTCAACCAGTGTTATCTCATGCTGTTGTTATTTTTATAAACTGGCTGGGGAAAATGTAATGGGAAGCATCTTTCTCATTTGCACATGACCCCACGCAGTATGCCACGCCTGGAGTTATCCAGAGAAATTTGTATTACTCAGCTGTCAGAGTCTGAGTGTAAATTACACTCTGACTGACTGGATTGCAGCCAGATCATCACAGATACGGAGACAGCATCTATATGCTGGACACATATTTGGAAACCAGCCCCAGCCAAGGTTTAGAGAAGTGCAATGTAAGTTGTGGACAAATTCCCTTGAGTGTTAATGTACTAAACCAGGGTCAATAGTTAAATATTTCATTGTGCATTGTCCTGCATGACAAAATAGTTTTTATTGATGGAAACACCCACATAAAATAAAATCCAAGCCATCGTGGTATCAGAGATTAATGGTATCACATGGACTACGAATAATGTCTACTGTAATGTTTTAGATTAATTAAAATGCATCAGTGCTCTTGTGATGTTTCTGTATATAAAAGGATGAAGGAGAAACTGAAAAAGGTTCAAAATATCCAGAACTGCATCTATAAGATGCTTCAGAACATCGTGTAGATGACCTTCCATCATTGCCACCTTAATTTAATACTCCACAACCACAAATACTGCCAGTGAGCCTCTGAATGTGGCATTGTTTTTGTATTATTATCTTTCTTAGCCTGAGCACAGTGTCTTACATGGTTTCATAATATTAAAGTAAATAAGAGCTCTCTTAATACTGAATGTGTAATGTGTAAATCACTGCACCATGGAGCCACACAGTTAGGAACAGAAAAATATAAAGTGCAATAAAAATTAAAATGAAATATTTCCAAGTTAAAATATTACTATGTACAATGTAGAAGAGAAAATAGTCCAGGTGTCACAAGGCGGAGTTATAAACTTTGATGTTTCCTGTGTTGGGAAACATTTTCAGAGATACACACTGCAATCTTTTTAGGATGGTTTAAATGTAGTAAACATTCATGTGTTTTCTGTGTTCTGTTTTTCATTTTCTAGTAACGGCTGATACTTTCCTCGTGGAAGGCAACAAGCAGGAACTGCAGCTGTCCAACCTCAAGCCAAGCACCACCTACTCTGTAGCCCTCTACGCCACCAAAGGACCACTTACAAGTGGCACCGTCATCACCAACCTCCAAACCCGTATGTATCCGTTTGATTCGGCTAGTACAGTGGGCAGCTGACTCAGCAGCTAGCACTGCCGTCTTCTTGCAGGCCTGAGTTTAGCCTACTGGGTCTGTGCAGGTGTCCTGGGCACATACAGTTTTATTTATAGCAAAAACTATCGTTATGTTAATTGTTAATTTTTCTGATACTTTTTTAATGACCAAGGGCAGCTGCTGCACTACCCTTGAAAAGTTGCAATGGATCATTCACCCCTCAAAGGGGATTAATAGAATTCAAAATAATCAGCTGTGCTATTTCTTACAAAAAATATATATAATTAATTATAATTAACAGAGAAAACTGCTAGTGCATATCAATTTAATAAGTGAGCAAAATGGCAAAAACAAAATACTCATGCCACTGTTTTTCCTATTAATTGGTAACTAGATGGCAAGAAGGTGGGTCTTATATAATTCAGGCCTGTCACAGACTGACGCCTTAATGATACAAGAAGCAGTTATGTTATGTTATGTCGAACCCATAAAGGATAAAGAATACAGTGTCAGTTGGTTTAATTTCTGTCTGCATTAATATAGTTACACAGTAATGTGATTACTATTATTGGCACCTGCTGTATGAAACTATAGGAAAATATGACAATCAATATCAAGTAAAAATAATATATATA